ATTAAAATAATCATGCAGCAAAAAAAAGGCATGAACTAAAGTGGCAACACAACATAGACAAATGTTGCTATGTTGTGCTGGGAGAGGAATGTCCCCTCAAACTTACAGAAGTTTCAAGTCTGCAGCTGTAGTTAACTAAAAAATACTGTTCACAGATGGGCTGGGGACTCCATCCAGCTCCTTCCATGCTGGACCACTCCACTTTCACCTTCCTATGCCACTTCTCTAATCCTCTCATGCCTGCCTGAACTCTCGCTTAGGCCAGTGGTTCTCAACCTTTCCAGTCTACTGTACCACTTTCAGGAGTCTGACTTGTCTTGTGTACCCCACGTTCCACCTCAGTTAAAAACTACTTGCTTACAAAATTAGACATAAAAATACAAAAATGTCACAGCATATTATTACTGAAAAATTGCTTACGTTCTCATTTTGCCTGTATGAAATTTTAGTTGGTACTTACTGCTAGGGCTTTTTATGTAACCTGTTGTAAAACTAGGCAAATATCTAGATGAGTTGATGTAGCCCCTGAAAGACCTCTGTGTACCCCAAGGGGTACGCATAGCCCTTGAGAACTATTGACTTAGGCTATGATTACCTGCTTATGACATCTACTTTTAAACCTTCAGATTCTTACTCCACTATATTGTCCAAGAAGCCAGAAGATGGACCCAGAGAGCAAGGAGACAGTGGTGGTAGGTAGGGAATTTCTTTCTGCTGCAGCCCAGGAGCGTCAAACAGGATTGCAGATGAGGAATCAAAGAAGGTTTTCTGGTATACTGTCCTGGTGTGAGCACCTGGGGCTTGGCTCAAGTGTATGTAACCACCATGGCCTGAGGCCACCGCTGATTCCCAGAGTTGTGATGGTGTCATCAAATATGTGAATTCAAAAGTACTATCACCAAAAGGTATGTTCATTTCACTCCCACTGGGAGGGGAAAAAAAAAAAAAGGAGTAAACAGAAGTACATCAGATAGGAAAGACCAAAACTAGTAGAGGGAGAGACATTTCTGTTTACAAACAGCTACAGCAAAATGCAAAATAAAACAAGGACCATTGCTGACTAAAATATCCAATACAAACATTACCTCTCCCATCTTGTCTCTCATTGATGAACACAGATTAAATTATACTGATATTGTACAAACAAAGGTTAATTTTTTCAGAGGCAATCTACTATCCTTATGGAGGAATTTTTCGAGGACATTTTTAATAGTAAGGACCAATGCAGAAATGACTTCTTTCTCTCTCTCTGTTGTATCTTCCAAGAATACCATACCTGTAACTAGGCTTCGTTCTGTTTCACAATTTACAGTAACAAAATAAAATCCGCAAAACACCCTTGGATGATATCAACAGTTTTATTTCTCTCCATTTGTGCTTTCAGAGATCAGCTGCAAAAAGAATACAAAAGCCTCCACGCTAGCAAGAGAGGCATGTAATGATTTTTTTCCCAAGTGCACATGCTTTTTAGGAAGCAAATATACCACTTGTGGTACTCAGACTTCGATCCAGTATTTTTCTCCCTCCCTCCCCCTTCTGTTTATGGGGTAGAAGCACTAATCACATGGAAAACTGCTGCTTGGTGGTAACTATGGATGAACCCAAATTTACAGCTGCAGTATTGCCTTAAGTCTGAAAAGCCCTTCGGTAGTGAAGAACTGTGACAAAGACATGTTTCATGTGATTTTGCAGAATTCTTGTAATAGATGGTGAAAGTTTGCCTTTAATAACACTGACCCCAAGAGTAAATGCCTTTTCATCAGCGTTAGCACAATATGAATGTAACTTTGGGCAAGTTATTTGACCACCCTGTGTCTCAGTTTACCTAGCAGAAAAGCTGACTAAAAAGCAGAAACTTGCTGGAAACCAGATGTTGGGATTAGGGTGAGTTTCCTGGGGGGAATAAAAATCCCTCCTTCCCCATGAAAGTAAGAAACTGAATTGCAGAAACATTCTATTGATAATACATGTAAATACTGCAGTTGTGTTCGTGCAATTAATTTTACTTGGTGGACCTGTGTTTAATTACACCCCATTGTGCATAATTTTTGAGGATCACTCAGATACTGTTCTCTAGCCTAAATCAATAAAATAACCTTTGTGTGATGCAGAAGAGTAATAATACAAAAATAATTTTAATATAAATGTCCATTTAATATGGACTGACAGTTTAGAGTGCCACCAACTTTTACAACAATTCTGCTAATCATTATTTCAAACTTACTCCTTCAATCATAAAATATGAAGAAAGGAAAAAGTAATAGGAACACAAGAGACCCTTGAAATATCTCCCTCCAGTCTTTGTCCTCCCTATTCCTTACAGACATGTATATTACAGATGGTTGCAGAATGGCCAGAAAAAAAAATCCAACGAGCCTCTCAAACCTGTTGAATTAGCTAATAGGAGTAGAAAAGAATAGCAGCAGACCTCTGTGAAGAAAAGGGACATACCTATCTGGTTTCCCATTAGTTGCTGCAACAGGCTACAGTTTGCCAGCTTTGAGAAAGAATGTGTCAAAGGTAAAAGGTCTCAGAATTTCTTTTACCATTGGAATACAGGCTGACATTTGCCCCAGTTTAAACCAGACAACCCAGACCCCACTTTAAGAATGCAGCTCTACTCAGAAAAAGTGCTGAAGTACATTCCTAAAGTATGCGCAAAAAGAAAAGGAGTACTTGTGGCACCTTAGAGACTAACCAATTTATTTGAGCATGAGCTTTCGTGAGCTACAGCTCACTTCATCAGATGTTTACCGTGGAAACTGCAGCAGACTTCTGCAGTTTCCACGGTAAACATCTGATGAAGTGAGCTGTAGCTCACGCTCAAATAAATTGGTTAGTCTCTAAGGTGCCACAAGTACTCCTTTTCTTTTTGCGAATACAGACTAACACGGCTGTTCCTCTGAAACCTGTCATTCCTAAAGTATGGTTTCAGAGTCGCAGCCGTGTTAGTCTGTATCTGCAAAAAGAAAAGGAGTACTTGTGGCACCTTAGAGACTAACAAATTTATTTGAGCATAAGCTTTCATGAGCTACAGTGCTTAAGTGCTTTCCTGCATTGGGAACCCAGTCCTGATAAAACTATGAAGAATATTGGATATCAGCTGTTGTTACTGGATGTAGCTGTAACTTGTGATCCTATGTGATTGAGACTCAGTATAGATTAAAAGGCATCTTCAGCTGCTTCCAATCTCAGTAGTTTGAGCACCTTGGCTACTAGGGTCACACTGCAAACACTACCTTAGTGAAGGAAGTTTCTAAACCTACTGAACAGGAGTCTTTAACTTTGAGATTTTCTAATTCAAGTTTCAGAGGAACAGCCGTGTTAGTCTGTATTCGCAAAAAGAAAAGGAGTACTTGTGGCACCTTAGAGACTAACAAATTTATTTGAGCATAAGCTTTCATGAGCTACAGTGCTTAAGTGCTTTCCTGCATTGGGAACCCAGTCCTGATAAAACTATGAAGAATATTGGATATCAGCTGTTGTTACTGGATGTAGCTGTAACTTGTGATCCTATGTGATTGAGACTCAGTATAGATTAAAAGGCATCTTCAGCTGCTTCCAATCTCAGTAGTTTGAGCACCTTGGCTACTAGGGTCACACTGCAAACACTACCTTAGTGAAGGAAGTTTCTAAACCTACTGAACAGGAGTCTTTAACTTTGAGATTTTCTAATTCAAGTTTCAGAGGAACAGCCGTGTTAGTCTGTATTCGCAAAAAGAAAAGGAGTACTTGTGGCACCTTAGAGACTAACCAATTTATTTGAGCATGAGCTTTCGTGAGCTACAGCTACATCTGATGAAGTGAGCTGTAGCTCACGAAAGCTCATGCTCAAATAAATTGGTTAGTCTCTAAGGTGCCACAAGTACTCCTTTTCTTTTTTCTAATTCAAGTGAATCAACAAACTAAAACCCTTCCCAAGGCCAGCAAATGAGATGATAAACTAGTGACCTATTTGAATCTATAATTTGCACAATATTAATTCTTGTTAAAGATTATTTATACAGAAAGTTCATTGTTTAGTCTTGACAGCAACTCTTTCTGTCATTCTATACCATTATTACAAGACATTACTAGTATTTTTGCAACATGTATGGGCAGAGTTTGGGTCCTGCAGCTTTTTCCTCTTCCACCTATCCTCTCTTTTGCCTTGTACCCTCCTGAACTACTTTGGTGGTCAAACCCCAAATGGTAAAACACCTTTTTCTTGTTATACTTTGCAGAGGAATTAATCTTTCAGTAGGATATTCGACATGTGAAGAAGCCAGAGTAATTAGGGAAAGGACTGATAATTTTGAAGGAGTCAGGTGAGAATCTTTTTTAACGTAATATTTATTAAAAAATAACTAATTAGTAAAATTGATGTTTCTGGCGTCAGAAGGAGGCCCCCCAGCACAAAGGAGATCCTAATTGTGCAGAGCTGACATCCTCATCCATACTCTTATCCCACATAACTCCCTGCTTCTGGGGAGGGGAGCTTGAATGGAGGAAATGGGGTGGAAGGAACACCCCGACACCAAGCTAATTATCAGCTGCTCTGACCCTAGAAGACGGACTCCATCCAGCCGGCGCAGGCTCGCAGGGAGAGTCGGCAAGGGGAGCTGTAGAGTTTATTTGCGCCCTTCCCCGCCCCCTCAGCAATGGGGCCAGCCCGACCCCAGCCCGTGTAGAAGAAAGGCGGGCACGGAACATGCCCGGGGCTCCGTCAGGGTTGGGCTCCCGCCACCCAAGTACCTTGATGGCCTCAGCGCCGCGATCACCCTCCGCCAGCTGGGGAGAAGGGGAAGCCGAGCCGCGCCTCTTGCGTCAGTCGGTCGGCGCAAACCCCTCCCCGCCGTGCACCCAGGCCGGCCCGCTTGCGCGCCAGGCCGGCTCCCCCTCCCGATTGGGTGCCTGGGGCCGCGCGGGGGGCGGGGCTCCCGGAAGTGCCGCTGCCACAGTGGCCCGGCGCGGGGAGGGCGGGGCGCTTTAGTGGCAGGGGCGGCGCTAGCTGCCGCGCGAGCTGCTGTTTTGGTTCCTGGTTCTGAGGGATTCCACAAGGCGCGAGACGCGGCCCCTCCTCCTCCTGCTGCTGCTGCTGCAGACCGGCGCCGCCCCCGTCCCCTGCCGCAGCCCGAGCCCGAGCCCGCCGGCGCTGCCCATGGCCGCTGAGATCCAGCCCAAGGCGCTGACCCGCAAGCCCGTCCTGCTCAGCAAGGTGGAGGGTTCCCAGGATGTAGTGAGCATGGCCGCGATCGTGCCCAAGGAGGACGGGGTCATCAGCGTCTCCGAGGACAGGTACTGGCAGGGGGAGGCGGGCACGCCGCCTCGGCCCCGCCCGCAGCCAGGGCGGCAGTGCCCGGGGTCCCCGGGGAGCGCGTGTGGGTCCGCGGTGATGCTGCGCGCGCGTGCATGAGACGAGCCCACCCGTGGGGCTGGGGTCCCGTAGTGGTCTCCCTGCAGGGGTGCAACGGGCTCTGTGTGCAAAAACTGGGGTGGGAAAGGGGTTGCTCTGCGTGTATCAGACCTGCCCCCGTGGTTAGCAGGGCGATCCGCTCGGTGCTGGGCTGGCCTGTGTCTTGCAGAAGGAGACACGAACGAGTTGCTCGGGCAGAGCATACGCCGAGTAGATTAAATATTGATCAGGCCTATTATGTGTGCACACTGCTCACTCTGCCAGGGAGCTCACCGTGTCATGGTAACTCTGCTGCATCTGACTGGTGTGCATGATTCAGACTACACAGACGTGAGAAAGGATATGTTGTGGTTGATGCCTGGTCAAAACCAATAACGTATCTTTAATTAACTTTTATATCAGAGATTCCGGGATTCCAGATTTGTGGTCACACATGCTAAAATGTTCTGTCCTGAAAATTGAAGTGAGTCATTTTCCATAATATGCTTGTTACTGTACGCCAGAAGTGGTGTGCAAGTCAGTGCCTGACTTTTCCTTTGTCATAAAATGTAGTGGAGGATTTCACAAATGATGCTCCTTGAAAATTTCATGTAAATATATTCACAGAAGCCAAGCTGGATTTTTTTCAGTCCAACATTGTACTTCAGCAGGCCTTTAAAACAACAGTTGCATTGCTGTGTGTGTTGTTTGGTAACTTGCTAAGAAGGAGCTGCTAATGTTTGTAGCAAAATGTCACTCAAATTACTGTAGTCTCATGTTCAATTTCTGTTTATATTATTAAAATCAGCATTCAGAAAGATATGTCAAACTCAGAGTTGATAACAATGAGCTACAACAGTTGCACTGAATAGCCTTTTGTGTATTTTAGTCTTGTAGCTACAGTTAAGTAAATCTGTTAGATTGGGGAATCAAACTTTTTAGCATTTCAATATGAGCAGTTTATATTATTCGTTAATCTGTGTTTGATGCTTAATTTGTCAGACCAGTTTCAACACATGCAGCTTTTGACAAATCCATGTGAGATTTGTTTTGACACGAAACAGAAGATACCAATGTTGTTCACTGAAACAGCGCTTCTAGTTCTTATCTAACAAAAACATTTCCTGCTAGTTCTTTTAAAAATAACATATCTAAAGGATAAGAAACCAGTCCAATATCTAGTATTGTAAAACTGCTAAACTGTCTGGTATTTTTATAATTTTTATTAGTCTTACTCCACAACATAAAAGTATGTCTTAAACCATCCAATGATGCTTCTTTTCTTTTCTTTTCTTTTCTTTTCTTTTTTCTTTTTTTTTTTCTTTTCTTTTCTTTTCTTTTCTGAAAGAGTTCAAATTTACCTCATTTAGTGGCATTTCCTCTTACATCTAGAATGGTTTCATTTTGTTAACTCTATAGGAGTGCTTTCCCTTAAAATAAAAAAATGTTCCATGATCCTAATTGGAACCCATATAATAACAATTCTAAAATGTAGTTTCATTGAATCATAGAATATCAGGGTTGGAAGGGATGTCAGGAGGTCATCTAGTCCAACCTCCTGATCAAAGCAGGACCAATCCCCAATTTTTGCCCCAGATCCCTAAGTGGCCCCCTCAAGGATTGAACTCACAACCCTCGGTTTAGCGGGCCAATGCTCAAACCACTAACCTATCCCTACCCCCAAAGTAAAGCTCTATATGATACTAGAGCACCACAGAATATCAGGGTTGGATGTGACCTTAGGAGGTCATCTACTTCAACCCCCTGCTCAAAGCAGGACTAATCCCCAATTTTTGACCCAGATCCTGGGATGTCCCCCTCAAGGATTGAACTCACAACCCTGGGTTTAGCAGGCCAATGGTCAAACCACTAAGGTGTCCTTCCCCGCATCATCACACAACCAAAAATCAGTTGACTTATCTGCTCCTAACAGGATTGTGGGTTGTTTTTTTTTTTAAACCAGATTGTTGGCCCATAGGCACTTTGTCTCAGGTTCAGGATTTTCCTTACTTTAGACTCCAGTATTGTCATTAAAAAGAATGCCCTTTTATCAGTGTACTAGTATTGAAAAAGCCTAAGTGTTACCATAAGTTAGTTTCTGGTTACCTGTCTGATACCTGAACTATGCAAAATCTCATTAAAGTTCGTCTATGCCCTGGGCTCCAATAAGCTCTCGTGTCTGTTATGAAAAGAAAACACTTCAGCTTCTTAGAGGCTGGTATACTGTGGAATTGCTAGTGACTGAAAATGTGAAATCCACTTATTTTAAGTGATATGGCCAAATTTCGCTGTGCGAGACGCTGAGTAAAGCATGAATATAGTAGCAGTTGGCGCATAATGACGTGCTGGATTGATGCCACTGATGTTCTGCGCTGTAAGAAAATACTTCTCAAACATTCTTTATCTTAATAGAGTGAATGTACCTGATATCTTTCCCCTTAGAGAAAGAGAGTAAGGGGTCTTATTGTTTCTTGCACTACTTTTTACAAGGTATAAAACCCCCTAATTTTTACGTGCCAGAATAGCAGCATGACACTGTAAGGTAACATTTCTGTACGCCATGTAGAGATTCTCTGTTAAAAGAAGCCTTTGTCTGAAGGAGCCTATAGTAAAGTGGAGATCTGTAGAGTATCGCTAAGGAACATGGGTATTTAAAATCTTCTGGTATGATGATTAATCTGCCTGTTGATAAACCCGGTTAAAAGTGATTCTTTTGCTTCTTTCTTGCTGATGTTTGGAGTGCTGTTGGCAGTACAGGGTGGATCTAGGAAAACTAGAGGTGCCTTTGTTAGGTAATCTGGAAACCTTCTGACTCTTCCACTTGACGCTAATACATTCTTTCATTAACTACACTTAATTCATTACTTTAGTTAGGAATGGATTTATGTAAGTGGATGATCATTTTTGGATTCATAGCTGAAGTAGTACTTTATTTCAGTCGTCACTACTTCTATTGCAGTTAAGGAATTCAGAGATCTGTGTTAAGCTTTATTTGGAGGACAGCAGCTTGGGAGTAAACTTGTAGCCTTCTTGTTACAGAGACAAGAGCATGGTAATGGAATGCAACAAGTGACAATGTTTGCTTTCATCACTTCAGTGCTATGCTGCCTCCTAGTTTGATTTCCCATTTAACATTGAGTCTCATTCTGTATTGGCTTATGTACTCCAATTAAGCCAATACAGAATGAGGGTCAATGTTAAATGGGAAATCAAACTAGTAATGAAGGTGGAGAGTTTATGCCCGTTTCCTTACTTATGGAAGCAGGTGGTAGTTCTGGCTGAGGTGAGACCTATTATGTGTAGAGCTCTGCAAATCTGTGGGTATCTGTTTTATATCTGCAGATACGGATATCTGCGGACCATGTTTGCGGATCGCAGATTAGATGCGGATAGAAATTTTGTATCTACGCAGGGCTCTAATTATGTGTATCAGTTGTATGTGAGATACTCTGAAATTTATTAATCAGCTTCAGCTGGAATGATTTGTATCCAACATTTGGGATTAGGAATTTTTTATGAATGCAAGAGAGTCATCAAATGGCTCTTTATTCCTAACACCATCAATGTTTAACAATCAAAGCTAGGCTTTAAGGTGGGTGTCTGTTTTGCATCATCTGGCTCTTCATTTCATAAACTGTCTAGGATATGGAGTCTTGATGTCTTTCTGTATTTTGTGCAATGCCCAGAGTTGTGCCTGGGTTCATTGCTTTGTAGACTTTTAACGATCATTTTAAACAATAGCTAACAATACCCTCATGGCTGATGCAATATGAGAACCTGAACAGAATGTACTTTACATGTATAACAGCAACATTCTTAAAGTTGACTCTGTCAAAATAAAGGATGTATTAGTTTATTTTTAAAGTTCTTAAGATTTTTGGTTTTAATTTGGAAAAACATGAAATCTGATGACCCCTGTATTCTACAAAACTGGTTTCTGAATCCTGATCTTAAAGTTGAGATAATGCAGATTGTTAAACCAAAACATCTTCCAGTGTGTCTGTGGTCTCTGAACTGTTTGGGTTAATATTTATCATGACGTGGGATATTGAGGAATGGTATAATGTATATGATGTGGATGCACACTGGAACAAATAATTGTCTAACTTTATTTTGACTTTGTTTTAGAAGAAGTGAGTATACCTGTTTACACTGGTGAAAGCTAAAGCCTATCTAAGAATGTTTGTTTAAATCTGATAAGGTGAAGTTCTGAGAACAAGATTAGAAGCTTTCTTTCACACTGCCCTACCTGCTAACAAACTGCTGGAGCTGACAGCCACTTAGATCCCAACACGTGGAATCCTATATCATACACAGCTTAGATTGAAAGTGTGCCAAAAGCTTTTACACTTCAGGCTAAATATTGGAATTTTTAAGGATCCAGAACTGAATGTCTTGTCATTGGTCTTTAAATTCAAGGGGCTCTGGAAATTTATGATACATATTGGCCAAATTCTCAAACGTGCTGAGCATTCCTACTTCCCATTGACTTGAGAGGAAATCAAGGTGGTTAGAATTTAATTTTTTTTTAAACCAAAAAAATCTGATAGGTTTATTTTTTTTAGAGGATTTTAAAGAAAAATATTTGAAATTGATAACCAATGTTAAGGACTAAACTTAATATCCATTACAATAATTTAAAAAATATAAAGCAGTACATGTTGGGTACCCAGTTTTAAAGAAAGTCAAACCACTGGTATAAGTCACTGGCTAAGAACCTGGAGCTAGAGTTTGTTGAAGTGCTAAACCAGCTTTTGACATCAGTAGCTTTTTCTGCTGGTGTGAGAGAATACTTTCTTTTTAGTCTATTCAGCTAGTTCTTAGTTGGTTCAAAGTTAAGAAACCAATGGGAGTTGAAAAAGCAGAAAAGTTTGTTCTCTTCCAATTTATGAATAAAAAACAG